GTTACATTTTGTACAGATATGAACATAGTCTAATTACACTGAACTTTGACATCAGTGTTGTTAAAACAACATGGCGGATACAACTTCGTACCCATCAAAAAGAATACTTTGTTTTTCAAATGTACGAATTTCGCTAGAAAACCAGTGTTATTTTTCCCGACGTTATATTACGTGGTTTCTTCACAATTTTGTAAGTGTGCTGTCATTTTGTTAATAAACATTGAATGTAATTAATCTTAATGTAATTCCCGCCATCTTTAAGGTATGGAACACAGATTCAACAAATAAAACATTCTGAAGTTGAAACTAAAGCATGTAATTTAAAAATGTATTCCAGATTTCACATTATCGTTGCACAATATTAAAAGTAAAACTAACTTCTTTCAGCTGATTGATATTATTCTGACTTCTGTAGCGAGGTTTTCCTTTCGAATCCTTTAATTTAAATGCCAATATTTTAGCAGATTTACTGAATAAAGTAATGCCCATTTCACGGTTAGAAATAATCGATTAGTCTCATCCTGTTGTTGGTTTAATCCACAACTGCATTTAGGTGGATACAGGGCGAACGTAGTTAAGATTAATTCGCTATCAAGATACGAACCGTGCGTGTATTAAAAGTGTCTTTTTTGCAAAACGAACCCTTTAAGATTAAAGACGTTGCAATAATTGATGAAACAAACAGATGACAGATTGATGGAACGAAGATTATTGGTTTTGAAAGGCCTAAGTTTACGCAAACTACGTTCAGAAGTTAAACGTAATGTAGGCGTTTGTTTTACTTATCGATGGTGGTAGAAATTCGCATTTCAGTGCGTTCGTGTGGCGTCGCCGTGGACCGTCGCGTGATCCGCGTCTCGAGACACCTGGTGGGGCACTGATGAAGACGTCGCGTGTTGATGCAGGAGCAGTGTCGACGCCGCGCTGATGCTGTTTGTTGTCGTAGCGACGCCAGGCATCGGGGAGCAAGACGCTGGCGCCGTTACGGGGTTTTCCTGATGCACGAGAAGTCTCGGCGGAGGAAAACCGAAAAGCTGAGATCACTGGATCCTTTGCCAGTAGTTCGGTGCGAGGTCTGGAGCCTGACTCGGGATTTGAACCGGAACCGACACTCCGGCAGAGATGACGCCTGGAACGGAGAGGAAGTTGCTTAAGTCCCAGTAAAGAAAATTAGGCAGTTTAAGTTCTCACTCCGACGACTGCAGCGCCGCGTAGTCTGGTAAATATTGACCGACGTTTCGGAAGTGCTTTCTGCTTCCATTATCACGGCGATGCGTCTTCTTCGTACGGTGATTTACTTCCTGTCTGTCAAATAAGTAGACTTTGCTTTACCAGTGGCTGAGCAGCGCGGTGTGAGGCGTGGCTATAAATATATCCTAATTTTATTTTACATAATCGCTTATTTTAGTTGTAAATTACTTGTCGTTTGTTGGTGAAATTCTTCCAAGTTTCGGTAGCGTTGGAAAGATGAGTCTAGTAGTGATTTAAGGAACAGACTCTCGTACGATGTGATGTACCCTGAATAAGGAGGAGAAAAAACAAGATGACAGTCTGTTTTTTGAAGTTCTCACAAAAATTCTACCCGTGTATCCGTCTTGTATTTTCGTCAGACCGCATGATGAGGGAGACGCAGTATTTTTAAACCATTCAATTATTCAATGCCGAAGTGCGCTGACGGCAGATGACTTCAATTTGCGTGCAGAGAACGGCTTTTCCACTTTCATTATCTGTTCTGCTCCGAACTGAAGAACGCGTTCGCGCGTCTCTTTTTAACGACTTCTAGGAAGAAAATCATTAGCTTCGCTCTGCTCCTATCCGTCCTAACGCTTACACCGCCTCCTGTTATGATGTGGCCTACGTACAAGGCGGTACATCAGTTCTTTCAACGCGTGGTAATAACACACGTTTACGCTTACCGTAAAATCTGTAATTTGAGAGAGAAATTATATTGAATGACGGCGTTATGATGGTGACTATTATTGGATTTAGTGGCAGTTCTATAATACATTCTAAATTCTATAGGTATGGTCGTTTAAAGTGAGAATAGCTGAATAAATGTTTGTCATTATCAAATATGACCAAATGGAATCCGTGTTCCCAAGTTTAAAGCACACAGCTTTGCCGTATATTTAACAAACCAAACTTTGTTCAGTTAATTAATAGTGTGTTTACAACATAAACTTGTATTTTGTTTTGAGGTTAATTATTTGGATCGTAGATTAATACTTAAGTGTAACAGCATACCACAAAAGCTATATTTAGACTCAGCGTCACACATTTTCTTCTCAGGTACTTCTTTTTAATTGCATCCAAAAACCAAAATCTAGTTTTACGAAAATAAGCAAAGCTTTCCTTCGGCACTGAATGGAGATAAGTAGTCAGTTTCACGCCCCGTCCGCCTTACCCTCCAAGGACATAACCCAGTGCGATCGAAGATAAAGATCCTACGCTACCGGAAGTCGAACCCCGGTCGTCCAGCCTGCTGCCTGAAATATTCTTAGGGCGCATTTTCGTTACGAAAGTATTAATCAATTAGTGACGCTGTGTGGGGCTGTAGCATATAAGAAGATACAGGTTATTTGTAAAATATTTTATATACTGAGAAGCTAATAGCCTCCCAGCTCATAAACACCACTTTCTTTAAGATCCATTTTAATATTATCCCTATATTGATACTTGGGTATTCCAAGTGGTCTTGATCATTCAGATTAAATTTTATACCGCTATTCATATTTTATCCACCAATGCGTGTAATATATCCGTATATTTCATCTGCCTTTATCCCTGCGGATGGAGGTAATTTGTCACTACGAAACGTTGGAATCTAACTCCAAATCCACGCGGCGTTACAATCCAAAAGACCGAAAATGAAATCTTCGCCACCTTGAGAACCTCAGATGTCATATAACCCGTCATGAAGAGTAAGTGTATTTAAGTCGTGAATCGAACGCCCTGCTCCTCGCCGATACGTTCCGTTTGTCAGAAGCATTTTGCTCAGAGCCTGGCGACGTGAAACGTGTTCGCGATATTCAGTCACATCTGAAGTGTCCGCCCGTACACAGTCGGGAAAAAACGTTCTTGGGAGGTCTGATTCATAAGGGAACCCGCGTGTCATAATCACAGGGTCGTCCCGGCTTCTACAGACGACTGCTGTAATTTTTATCCACCTACAGTGGTACTTCTGTCCCGTTATTTAGGGACTGCTTTTGTAATCTCTGTTTTCACTGCCTTCTCTGTCTGTCGCTGACATCTGCTGCGTAGAATTCTTTTGTCTTATCGCAGACGTAACGGTCTCACGGGTTACAAACATTTTCTCATCGTCACATTTTTACCTGATAGCGGGAACATATTCAGTTTCCGAATTCTAGTCTTTGAGAAAGCCTAAGACAACGGCCAAACCCCAAACAATATTTTATAACGCACCATCGCATCGTTAGAAACATTTATACTCGGCTGGAGTCGGTGTATGTCTCGTACCGCGAGCAGTAGTCCCTGTTTAAGTCGCTGAAGCGATAACCCGCGATGCCGAAAAATGCACTTGCCCTCCTCTTGAAGCCTCGAACCCCCCCGTCAGTTCTGCTCGTTATTGAGCGCTCGTCGAGTCGTGAATTGCCGCCCACGCAAACCGCCAGCTTCCGCTGGAGGAGCAGAAGAGAGACGAGAGGTGGAAAAAGGCAGTTCAGTCGCCCAGCGAGTGGCAGGCGTCTTCATCGTTCGGCACAGCCGCAGAACACGTTTATCTGATTGTGGCAGAGACACATCCAGCGTCCGAAGACGCTAATCCACCG